CCCCAAAACCCCAAAACCCCAAAACCCCAAAACCCCATCTTCAATTATAATTGGTTCAACATTTAAATCAAATATCCAGATCAGTGGCACAGCTCCTCTATATCTTCCTCAACAATAATTTCAACTATTATGAACTATACCATTTCTTAAAATTTACAACTTTTCTAACTCTTACATAATTTTTCTACATTTTTTGCCATTTCCAGTGAACCAAAGTCATAAAAATCATGTTTTGAGCTGTACATGTCGCCTTAAAAATGACTAGAGCTCTCTAAGTTATTAGCATCCACTGCTTTGCTAGTTAAAAAATTGCAAGAGCATTTTCAGATTTTAAGTACTAAGAATTGATATATTTTAGCCAATAATTTAGATATATTCCTTCACACTGGCTCTTACTCCTGGAATATGAAGTTTTGCTTCAAGGATCTCTTCTTGAGGAAATTCACCTTACTCGGTTTGCAACTACGGAAGTTGTCTACTCTGAGAAAGCCTAGGTCGTGCTTGTGGTTACCTATGTTGAAGAATGAGGTTAATTGCCTTAAAACTGGGGTTTAGAATTGCTAATTTTCGTATTAAACTATGAAGCTTAAGCCTAGGCTCGTTTACTCCAAGGACTCTGATAGAGTATCTCTCATTCTTGGTTTTAGTTTAATCAAGTTTCGTAATTAAGTAGTATACACTTTATGATATAATTCTGAAATTTGCTTAATTTTTGCATAGAAATTTCGCCTATTATGGCTTGTTTAAGCTATTATACTTCTGTGCATATGAGAAGATAGATTTTCAGGCCATTTTAAAGAATAGTAGAAGCTGGGATAAATATGAGGTATAATCCATGAGATTTATATTTTCAGATTGTTGGAAAATATATAAGGAAGTTTAACTCAGAATAAAAGTATCGAAGTTACAGTAGGGATGGTCTAACTTTATTTCTCTGCTTTTAGTTCCTCTTATTTCTTTCTTCTCGGTTCCATATGTCCCTTTACTGCTAGTCTGGTGATACTTCTTTGACCTATAGGCCTAATGTATTTGGTCTAAATCTTACTCTAAATGTATAACTTAAGACTTGTCGCTAAGTTAAGTTGCAAATGAATATAAAAGTTATCTTATAAAGCCTTAGAATTCTCCTTCTGCCTACTTCCGTGTTTGAAGTTTCCCAATACTTCAGTTTCATCGAATAGGATTCTTGTATCAAGAGTGTCAACTGGGGATTATATTTGTATTAGAAGGTCTAGATTTTGCTAAATTTCTTCCTTTCCACTGGGTCTGGGTCCTCCTCTCCATTGAAGAATGGACGGTCAAGAACTTGACCTTAGTATTACTGCTAAGGTTAGTCGGTCTCCTATTGAAATTATTCTGAGCAGTTATGTTCAGACTATTCTTAATCTTAGTACTCGGATTTATCTGCCTACTACGGGGCCTGAGAATCTTCGGTTTCCTAGTAAAGCTAGTGAAATATTTCTGTTCGTTACTCTTGATGATATCAATCAATGTGCTGAACTTCTCATCTATCTTTGACTGAGGCTGAGGATTCTCAATTCGTAATTTAGAAATTGGTTTCTGTATAGCAGTCTCCTGGCTGCTTTGGATGCTATCTTTGTGTAGTGCTTTTTCATGCATTGAATTCTCATCTTTAAGAGTTTTAAATATAATTCCTTTTATTTTTATATTCTGTTCTGGTATATCTAGCATGAATTTGGGGTGAAAACTCATTCGGTACATTCTTAGTCACAGTGCTGGCGTCCTTCTTCTGAGTTCTTGAAGGTGTGATTCTCCGCCTGTTTAAAAATTACCAAAGAATATACCTTTGGGGCCTTTGGTCATTAGGCAAGTTTATGTCCAAATCCTGGTTCAGGGTTTTTACTATATTTTTAAGCAACTGTTGCTTACCTTGCGAGAAGGACTCTTTGACTGGATTCCGTGATTTTTCAAATTTTTGCTCTCTATTGGGTCCATTTTGGTAGTATTGAAGCAGCATGTGATAATATTTCGTTGATTTCGTCTAGAATTATGAAATCCTTCGAAATCAATTAAACCTTACAACTGGGCGGTGGTTTGGATTCTTGCCTTGAGAGGTCTTGAAGAAACACTTTCTTGTCACATTTGACTTCTTCTTGATCTTATTGGGGATCATAGGTTTAAGGTCTTTGGAGAATTTTGATGCAAGAGTCTTGTGAGTTGAGACTTGGCTATTTTTGATTAATTCTGGAGGATCTGTATCCCATCCACAGACATTATTACAACTATGGTAAATTTAGGCAGATTCAATAAGTAGGAATCATAAGAGCTACTTTAGATTAATGAACAGTAATGAGACTATGTCTTACTCTCAAATGACGCAGTTGCATTTATTTTCATCACTGGAGATTTATTTTGACTTCTTCTTTATCAAACTTGTCCCAAGTATAGTCAAGTCCATTGCTTTCTACATGTTATCAGAGTATTTACTCTGAGTCTCATCATCTCTTGGGCTGATATTCTTACTCTGGAAACTTTTATTAGACAGACTTTTCATGTCACAAAATATCGAGCTTTTTCGCCTAAATTTATAAATAAAAAATGGCTTAAAATGGAAGGAGATTCATGAAATTTTCCAAGAAATTTATGGTTTTAGCATGCTTTAGAGCGATTTCACAAATTGTGTAGCATCCTTAGAACTCAGAATTACATTTTCTGTTATTTCAATAAAATTTATAGAAATTGGGGTTTTGGGGTTTTGGGGTTTTGGGG